ACAAGTCTTATTTAACCCGAATCAATAACTAGGAAATCTGTTGATTTAGACAACCGGCCACTGCTTGAGTTAATTTGTTTCCTAAGGATTAGTAATAGCAAACGTGAAACTAATCATCTTAGTCGGTAGCCAGTGAAGAATTAATCCGATACATTGAAATCATCCATGCGAACAAATGAGTCGAACCTAAACAGAAGTCCTCTTTATTATTGAATTTAGTTGATTTTTATTTGCTTAGCTCTTAGTTTCTTAGTTTAAGTTTTAGTTAATTGTTTAAGTTTCTAGAGAAAACTCTTTCTATTACTTGTTTTATTTAGATAATATTATCATATATTTTAATTGTTTACCGTTCCCTGTGTTCGATACCCTACTTACCTGAACTAAACTGCTAATCGATAGGTACACTGCCTTTCGTGTGTTTGTCTTTGTGTTTAAGTTAGTAGGATTAAAACTAGTTGGTTTTACACACATCAAGTTTTTGGCGCCGTTGCCAGGGAACGGTTCAAATAGTTAATTTTATTTGCTAACTGTTATCATTTTTATTTTATTAATTATTTTTTTTAATTTTATTTTTATTTTTATTTATTATGTATTTTCCAAATCTCGATACTTTTGATGCTTTTCTTGAGGAAGTAGTGCAGGAAATTAAGCAGGAAGATGAGGACTATGACTCAGATGATGATTTGAAGAAATTTGGAAGATGGTTAGATAACTTCTTGATTAACGAACAAGTGCAATCTGAGTCACAAGAGGGAAAGCTACAAGATGATGAATTTAATCCAGAAAGAGACTTAGAGGAGCTGGAAAGATTGATAGCAGAAGGGTCAGATGAAGAACAAGAACAAGCTGAATTGCAGTAACCAAGCTGTGGTTTGACTATTACCACGACATGGCCCCCTATATTTTCAGTTTGTGTTTCGAAGCGTGGGGTGACGACTCCAACTTTGGAGAAAGTTCTGAGGCACGATCCGTTTTTGATTAGTATCCAACCGGTTCCAACCTTTTTCAAGATTGTTGGGTTTCATGAATTCGAGCTTGTTTGGCAAATTTTAGAAGAAACGAGCCAACTTTCACAAATTGGTCCAAAGAAAATATTTAATGCAACGGATGGATTGGCATCGAATTTATTAGAAGTTTATTAAGTTGAGAGTCCAGCTAAAGACTCGCACAAAAAGAAGCGCTTGCGGGGGGCAACCCATCATTAGAGTTTTCTTTTCTTTTTCTTTCTAAACCTCTAGTGTAAGGATAATTTAGGATTTTTTTTATTTTAATGTTTTTTTATTACTTGGTTTTTGTTTTGATCTTTTCAGTTTGAGTGTAAGCATGCATGTGAGGGTCTAGAGTCAAGGCTGATGAAGCTAGAAATCGAGTCTAGGCGAGAAAGGAAACGAAGTTTTGAGTCAAGCTATGAGTCCAATTTATAGAAGGGTTATATAGTGTTTATTACCTAAAGAAAAATGAGGGAAATTATTAGTTTATATAACCCCCATACATCAGAAATGGACTTGCGCAGAATAAAATTTTTGTCACACAGCGGTCTACTCGCCGAGTGCATCTTATGGACTCGCTGAGTCCATGTGAAAATTCACGATTCTTCTTCCATTTACGCTTCAACTCGGCGAATCTACATACTTACTCGACGAGTCACTCATTCTTCTTACTTTTGAGCTGAAGATTTGATGACATTTGATATGGGCATTGATTCTATTCTTTGAAGATCATTTTCCGAGCATTTCCAAGAGTTTTTCCCTTATGTTTGGAGCTTTTATAAAGACTGTACCACACGAGATTTTGACACCCAAGACATGGATGAGTTGTTCCCATGTCTAAAGTAAATTGAAGATGGAGCTGAAGAGAATAGATATCAACCTCACCACTACTATCCCAGGGGAGTTTGTTCCAATTCTCTCCTTATTTTTATTGTTCTTTATCATGCATGATATGCAATGGGGACATTGCATAAATTAAGTGTGGGGTAGGGGGTTGGTTGGTTACACTAGTAAAATTTAAAGTTTTGCATAAAATTTGCTCGGATTAATTTAGAAAAATTTGGTAAAGCAATTAGGGATCATGCTAGTATTATATTTGATGATTGCATGAAAACCCAAATGTTTAGTTGAGCCTATATACGTTCTAGTGCATTAGTGGCTTTCTTATTCCAGTGAAATCATGGGACAAAAACATGACCTCTCTTAGTTTGAAGGATGCAATATGTTTAGCATCGTGTACCAGAAATGTATCCAGGAAAATTATTATCTTTAGCCAATAAAGGTTGAAGTTGAGCACCCCTGCTTAAGCATGTAGGGTTTGAGTGGAAAAAGTGTGTTACATGTTCAAAAAAAAAAAAAGAGAGAATTACAAGAAAAAATTTGAAGAATTTTTGGAGCATCAAAGTTAAGTATGAAATTAGAAGATCGAAAATTCCGAAGAATTTCAAAAGGTTGAAGATACCAAAAATCAAACAACAAGGTGGTGAATTCAAAGAAATTAAAGATTAAATGTCAAAGAAGTGAAGAATTCCAAAGAGCTCCAATGTGGTATCATAAATTGTAATTGTCTAGATTATGTATGCTTGGGTGGCTCAATCAAAAATACCTTGAGGTTAAGAGGTTTTCTGAGGACGGATTCGGAGGGATGCATAAAATGAGCATTGTTCGGAAAAAGCAGGCGAATGTTTATGAGGATTGTGAGTATTTGGAGTATGGGGGTTATTAGGAAAATTTTAGACACAAATGCATGCGTTGCGGTCTTGTCATAATGGCTGGGTTTGATTGAGATTGTCTTATGTAATATTAGTGTACTAAAATTCAGTTTTGCTTGGGGGCAAGCAAAAGTCAAGTGTGGGGTATTTTGATATGGGCATATTTAGTTATAAAATTCATGCATTATCTTAATACTTTATGTTGATTTTGTATCATTTAATGAACAAAAGGTGCTTAATTAGATTAAATATTTCATTTTCAGCAACAAATACATGCTCGAAAGGAAAATGAAGCGGAACTAGCGATTGGACGCTTGGATCATGGATTTTGAAGAAAGAAGGATGTTGCTGGACAGCTTGACCCATCGTCAGTGTTTTGGCCATATCTCATGAACCGTAACTCCGATTGACGAGATTCAAAATGTTCTGAAAACTAGACACAATTTCAGATGACTTTCGTATTTTGAGAAAATGCTGATTCCCAACGTACTCGGTGAGTAGGGTCGATTACTCGCTGAGTTGGTCTGAAGTTTCGCGATTCTGGACGCACTAACTTGCCGCACACGGGTTTTAAGTGATGGACTCGCCGAGTAGGTCAATGGACTCGCCGAGTAGCCCCTATTTTGTGAAAATCTATATAAAGGGACTTTCAGATCGATACCCTAGGATAGAGATGAACCCTTGGAGGCCAATTGTCGACTAAAGGTGTTGCTGGAGCGTGGGAAGCAAGGGAATCAACCCTACATTCAATTTTAAGGAGAATCAAGTCAAAATCAAGTTTACTCTCACCTAATCTCTTGTTTGAACTATGTTTTTACCAATTGATTTTGTTTTTGTGCTTGTTTCTGCTGTAATCATGAGCTAAAAACTCATAACTTCTGTTTAGGTAGATGAATTTGTGAACATGGATTGATTATTTGATTACAATTAATTTTAATTGGTGATTATGTTTTATTAAGCTTGTTAAAGAACCTTATGTGTTAACAATAACTATTCTTCTGTTAATAAATCAGTAATTAAGTTGTATAACATCTCTTAGTTGCTAATTTCATATGATTTACGTGACCACATAGTTGTATGTCTAGGAATAACGAATATGAAACTAGAATTAACTTGAAGATAGGTAAGTTAATGTGTGAGCTTGTGTGATACACCATCAACAAGAGGTTAATTGAATCACCAATTTGATTAACTATTACAAGTCTTATTTAACCCGAATCAATAACTAGGAAATCTGTTGATTTAGACAACCGGCCACTGCTTGAGTTAATTTGTTTCCTAAGGATTAGTAATAGCAAACGTGAAACTAATCATCTTAGTCGGTAGCCAGTGAAGAATTAATCCGATACATTGAAATCATCCATGCGAACAAATGAGTCGAACCTAAACAGAAGTCCTCTTTATTATTGAATTTAGTTGATTTTTATTTGCTTAGCTCTTAGTTTCTTAGTTTAAGTTTTAGTTAATTGTTTAAGTTTCTAGTCTTGCAAAACTAGAGAAAACTCTTTCTATTACTTGTTTTATTTAGATAATATTAGCATATATTTTAATTGTTTACCGTTCCCTGTGTTCGATACCCTACTTACCTGAACTAAACTGCTAATCGATAGGTACACTGCCTTTCGTGTGTTTATCTTTGTGTTTAAGTTAGTAGGATTAAAACTAGTTGGTTTTACACACATCATATACCTCCAAGAAGTGCTGATAAATCAGTTGTTTCCAAATTTCTACAAACAAATCCTTCTGATCATACTACCTTTAAATTAAAGGTAATCCAAACTCTTTTATCAAATTTCAGTATAAATAACACAGAAACAGTATTTTAATTGCATGATATATTTTTTTTATTCAGGAAATGGTTAGATTGATGAAAGAAAAACGTTTTCCTGCTGCTTTCAAGTGTTACTATAATTTCCACAAAATTAATTCGATATCTAGTGATAATCTTCATTATAAAATGGTGATCCATGTGCATAGTGATTCAACCTTCAGGAGATACCAAAAAGAGATGAGATTCAAGCCGGATTTATGGCCACTATATCGAGGTTTTTTTTGTTGAAATTAATCTGTTCAAGGCAAGTAAAGAGAAATCCGCAGAGATTTCCAAAAATAACCCCGGCATTGGAAAAAATTACAAAGATGGCAATGAAACATCTATAAAAAACAGTTTAGCAGATGACGATGCAAATCTAATGGTCAAGCTGAAATTTTCTTACATATAAGTTATTATATATATTATCCCCTAGTTATGTGGTCGAAATTACTTTTATACCCTTCTGACATAATTCAGTTATGACTTATGACACAGCTGCGAACTTTCTTGATTCGCAACGGGTTGTCGATTCTTTTCAAAGAAGGTCCAATTGCCTATAAAACCTACTACCTCAGGTAACCATCACACATAAGGGCATTTATGTCATTTTGATATCATTGTGTCATAATCAGACCAAATTGCATGATGTAGGCAAATGAAGATATGGAATACATCACCAGGAAAGCAGAGACAACTCAGTAAGATGTTGGATGAATGGTAATGAAGGAAGAAGGATTTAGTATTTTTTTAATAAGAAAAGAATTTATAAATTATATAAATTTTTAGGGCAGTGTACATAAGAAGGAAATACGGGAACAAACATTTGTCATCATCAATCTACTTGAGTGAAGTTGAGCCTTTTCTTGAACAATATGCCTCTAATGAAGAAGTATGGAGCCAGGTAACTTTTTCTCTTCTTTCCTTCATCTGCTGTACCAATTGTTCCAGATTCCGAACATTCTTATTTTATTATTTATTGTTTATTATTTTTTTTATAAATGGATATAAATTTGATTGGTTGTTATTTAAATTTTTTGTAGGAAGTGAATCAAATCCATTTTCTCTTGATGCATTAGCAGTTTTCATATATCGTGTAGTCAACCAAGTCAATCACCCTGTAGTTAAAGTGTTCTACAACAATACTTTTCTGGGTGCCTTAAGGATGCTACTAAAGCCATTGGAGGTAATATATATATATATATATATATATATATATATATATATATATATATATAAGAAAACTAGTGATAAGAAAACTAATATTATAACCCTGAAAAATAAAAATAAATTTGAAGAATTTCAGTAAGCACCTGTGGTAATTAGCGAAAAGAAAACTAGCTAACGATTAGAAAACTAATATTTTATCCCAGAAAAATAAAAATAAATAGAGATATAAGGTCATAATTAGATCCTATTTAAAGATATGTGAGTATGTGTAAGTATGTGCAAGTGTTTGTGTATATTTTTGGACTGATTATTCTATTAGTATAGGTTTTGTCTATTTACTTTAGGCATATTTCATCCCTTCTATCTTATGCATCAAGGCTAAACCAAGGTATTGATTAAAATACCCCCGGTATGTTAATTTTTTTTTTCTGTATTACCAATAAACGCTAATTTTTTTATAATAGTGTTAACTCATCATTTAAAGTGTTTGTATGGAAATTATCTTATGGTGTGTCCAATTTTTATTACCAATAAATGATAATTTTTTGTAATAGTGTTAACTCATCATGTTTATATGAATCTAAAGGTTGCATGATTCAAATTTGCAGATCTTGGGGTGGCATATCCATCTTACAATACAAAACAAAACCACAATAGAGGTTAGAATAATGTTTTAGTGTGTAAATGCATGTAGATCAATGTTGTGTTAGATTACATGATATCTTTGTTGTTGTAACCTGTTTACACTAAAAAATGTCAATGGCTAACTTTTTGGGATTTTTCAGGTAAAATTGTGCAGAAGCATTTCTTATGCTGTAGTTGCTGCTCATGCAGATCAGACTAGTAGGAGGAAATTAGCACCTTTCCAGGTTCCTTTGTTACTAGGCATTGGGGAAGAAGATACAGCCCCGACTAAGGCAACTGAAAGTGGCGATACTGATCTTGTTTATCTTGTTCTCTTTCATATATGGCAGAAGGTATTTATTGTTTTCTTATTTGATTAATTATATAATAATGGTAAAATTAAGTTCTCAAATTATTGGCTTGTATAGAGACTAGCATTGGAATTATTTGGAATGATACAAGCTAGACCTATTGCGCACGATCTATTCATACGAGACTCAAGATATCATATTTTGGCATGGCTAAAAGCTTTGGAGGAAACGAGACTCAAGAAAAAGTAAACGCACAGAGAGTTGTTGGCACATAGTAAGCTAGATGATGCAATTGTATATAAATGAGTTCATTTTTTATAACATTTACTCACCTTTGGAATAATTATTTGTATTTGACATATTAGAGAAATGCATTATCTTTGTTATTTATGGTATTTTATTTTGTATTATGAGATTTTTAATGTATTATTTAATTTGAAAATTAGTAAATCTATAAAAAATATTTTTTTTAAACATTTAAAATTATGATACGCAAAAATGTGTGTCATCTTCATTTATGACATGGCCTTTCTTGACAGGGGCTTTCTTGATACGCATTGCGTGTCATTAACACGCGCGTCGTAAGGTTACGACACGCGAATGCGTGTCATCTTCCTTTATGACAGGGCCTTCCTTGATACGCATTGTGTGTCGTATACGCACGTCGTAAATGCGCGTCGTAAATGAGCATCGTAAATGCGCGTCGTCTCTCTTTATGACAGGGCCTTCCTTGACGCGCATTTGCGCGTCGTCTGAGCCTTTTACGACGCGCAATGAGCGTCGTAAAAGGCTGTTTTTCTAGTAGTGATTTGAGAGCAAATATCACCTCTCCTAACTCTAGATTTTGTGTAAAATATCTCATGTCATGCGGATTTAGTTGTCGCGATGCATAGGCTATCACTTGTCCTCTATGCATAAGGACTGCTCCCAATCCGGTGATCTATGCATCACATAACACCACAATATCCTCAACTCCCTCAGGGAGTGTCAAAACTGGCGCCTCGTAGAGTCGCTATCGCGGAGTCTCAAATGTAGTCTACTTCTCAGGGCCCTAGTGGAAATCCACCCCTTTCCTCTTCAGACGAGTGAGCGGTACTACAATCTTGGAGAAATTTTGTATAAGTCTACGATAGTACCCTGCCAATCCCTAGAAGCTCCTGATATCCGAGGGAGATTTCGGAACCTCCCACTGCATAACCGCCTCGATCTTGGCTGGGTCGACCAAAATCCCCTCCTGGGTAACGAGATGTCTAAGGAACTAAATCTCTCACAACCAAAACTCACTTTTCAAGAACATGACATAAAGCCACTCTCACCTCAAAGCACCCAATAGCTCACAAAGATGCTTCTCATGTTGCTCCATACTCTTGGAATACACCAAGATGCCATTTATAAACACAATTACCGAGCGATTGAGCATCAGTCCTCATATCCGATTCATCAGGTCCATAAACACTATCGGCGCGTTGGTTAGCC